GGTTGTCTTCTCCATTCAGAGGGCCCCCCTCCCTATATTTGCCTAGGGCCCCACATTTCCTAAATCCTCCCCTGGACTGGAGTCCATATTTCAGATTAAACTCTGAACTCTGGCTGAGATTAATCAAACCTAATCCTGAATATTTTTCAATCTCCTCTTCAGCTCCCATTGTGGAGGAAACTGACCTGTAATCCCTGCTGGACTCCGATGATGTTTGATCAGCTTCCATAGTTTCCTAATTAATCAATCAGCTTTCCTGTCGTATCGCTTAGAGCAGAACCAGGGAACAGATCCTGCTGGTTTTGATGAGCATTCGTTATCTTGGTTCATCTTCAGAACAACTGGGGATAAAATCTACAGATTAAAGTCTTTAACAGGTTGGCTGATCAGCTGATAGAACTCCCCATGAGGAGAGCAGCTATCTTAGGCTGAAGGAGATTTAGATCAACATGAAATATGAGAAAACTAAAGTTCTATGAATCATGTTATTGTAGCTCAGCTGCTCCAAGTCATTGTTTGTGATCAATAATGTGGAGAATGGTAGAAACCAAACCTTCTACTGTCGTTCTTCTTCTAACGTTTTCCTGGGTGATAAAAGTTCAGAAGCGGGTCACCGGGTAAAGGACGGCTCAGGTTGTTCTGGAAAAATCTATCATTTTATTCTATAGAGCTGGACAGTTATTGTTTGGAGGCCCTGAATCAATATTTCTCCGCACCCTCCACCACATCTGACTGGGGGTCAGTCAGCCGGGTGTCGGACGGGTCAGTCAGCCGGGTGTCGGACGGGTCAGTCAGCCGGGTGTCAGACGGGTCAGTCAGCTGAATATTGAGCTGTCTGACCCGTCAGACACCTGGCTGACAGGTCATTTAATCAGGTATCTAGCTGTCTTGACTAGTGAGCCGACTGTCAGACGGGTCAGTCAGCCGGGTATCGGGATGTCAGACTCTTTTCTATACCGGGTAACTTCAGTATCTCCGTTGCAGATAGAAGATCTGAAATGAACGATTTTACTTGATTTCCACTGATAGAAACTACTTTAGTTTGATTTATTCAGCATTTTTATTCACTTTGCTGTTTAGTGGATCTTTCTGCAGGCGTGAAGGAATAAACTAAACATTAAACATTCACATTTAAGACTTCAAAGATATAAAACAGTCTGTATGAGATTTTATTCCAGCCATGGGAACAATAATTGGTTCTGTTGAAATGTTGGTTTCGGGTTACGAGTCGACAGTTCTTCTCGCTGTGGATCCGTTTCAGCGTCGTTCTCTGGTGTTGAACTGTTACAGGAACCACTTCCTGTTTGTCCGCCTGCAAATCAAACGTCCTCCATCGGTTTGAGCCCTAAAACCTCTGAGATGTCAGGTGTTGTTTCTCCTGTTTCTACTTTTGTTCTCCTCCAAACTTTGCCGCTGATCTTCTCCTCCCAGGTCTGAACGTCTGTATGAGCGGCAGCGCCACGTCCTGCGAGGAATGCCTCCTGATTAACCCCAGCTGCGCCTGGTGCGCCCAAGAGGTGAATGACCGCCACCCTGCAGACACCTGTAGGGCGGAAATCTGTTTAGGAAGTTTGAACAAGCAGGCGAATCATTTTAAATGCAGTTTTTCTGGTTTAAGAAGCCTGTTTTTTTTTTCAGAATCCTGAGTTTTTTAATATTTGATTGAGAGTCGGGAGCTTTTTCATCTCCAGATGTGGTTGTGATGTTTCTAGAAATGGAGGACGCTCTATGAAGCGTGTTTTAGATATAAAAGGTCTGACAGTGGTGCTCTAAAGCCAAAACAGAACGATCCAGTTTTCCGGATGGGGCAGATTGGAAGGTTGTAGCTGCTTCAGCGGTGATGGAGTCCAAAATGGCCTCCTGAGCTGCAGCAGCAGGTGGAGGAGGAAGATGAAGAACTGTTCAGTTTAGAAACAAAAGTCGAATCAGTCGATTTATATCTATAACGCTAGCTGTCGTCTCAAGGCCCGTTACAGAGGCGGTTAGTGGATCCAGTTGGATGAATCCACAACCAGTTAAATCTGCTGGTGAAGATTCTCAGTCATCCAGGTCAGAGTCAATCCAAAAAAGTTAAAAAACAATCCACTGGACTTGGTTTCCAAGTTTGAAGACGTTTCTCTTCCATCGAGGAACATTTTTCAATTCAAAATGTCAGAAATAGCGTTTAGTTCCAGGTTTAATCCAGCAGCCCAACAAAGCCTGGTTTTTGTTTAGAAAACATGCAAATTGAACCAGATGAACGGGTCCACCCCTTTGGAAAGGGGGTGGTTTGGCTTCTTTGTTAACCTGCAATGCTCCATACCTGCATTGATCTGCAGACACTCCATTCATATTAGGTCTGGGGGTTTGTCTTTAGGATGCACTAGTCTCTGTTTAAGGGTGTGTTTGGTTTGAAATGTGCTGGGATTTTGTGTTTGGTGAAAATCGTCTCGAGTCTCCAGCAACATATGGGATAGAGATGTTTTTGCGTTAAATTTTCTCACCGTTATGTTCTGCTGCGGGTACGGAAGAGGATTAGGGCC